AGCTCTGACGATGCTACAGCCCCCCCGGCTGTCCCCCTGCCCCCAGAGGACCTGCCTCCTAATGTTGCGGTGGTGGACAAGGGTGGGGCATGGAAAGGGTGAGATGAACTTTTAAAAGTGTCAATGTGGCACAGCTTGGACCGACTAGCTTGAAGTGCAGTTAGCTGAAGTGGAATGTGGGGGTCATGTGGGAGCTCAAAGGCCCTTACAGAGAAGTGGGGGGGCTGCCCTGCTGCAGGACTTGCCCAGGGTGGGAGAGAATTCAAGCTGGTCTTGCCTCCAAGAGTGAGTGGTGGGAAATGCTGCCGGTGGAGCAAGTAGCCGTCTCTGCTCACTGCCAGGAAGCTGTTTTGAGTAGCTGACAATCTTGCAGGGATGGCGAATAAAAGAGGAAAGACCAGTTATCTCTGGCTGGTACAGAAGTGTAGCAGATAACATTATGTTGTTCTTCCGAAACAGGCAATCTGGAGCTGCACAAGTACAAGCCCTGTAGAGAAGTGTTTTGCCCAGCTCAGCTCTTCCTGGCTTCCCTATCTGGGCTGCTGCTTGGCTCTCTGTGTGTCTCTCTGCAGCTGTGTTCAGAAGTGGCATCTGGCACTTTTGCATTGCAGGCGTTTCATGCCACTTCGGGTCACACTGCAGCCCCTTCTGGGAGCAGGAGATATATCAGTAACAAGCACCTTCTTGCGCTTGTAAGCTAAGGAGAGCCTTGTCTCCCACACAGCATTTTCAGAGATGCTGTCTCTGGCACCTGTGTATCGTGGTTTAACCCCAGCCGGCACTGAAGCGCCACGCAGCTGCTTGTTCACTCCTTCCCGCTCCCAGCGGCATGGGGAGAACTGGAAGAAACTTATCTCAACTTGTGGGTTGAGATAAGAACAGTTTAATTACTAAAATAAAACATAATAATAATAACAATAAAATATAATAATAATAATAGTAATGAAAATGAATAGAATAAAAATATATAGAGAGAAATAAACCCCAAGAAAATGTAAGTGATGCACAGCGCAGTTGCTCACCACCCACTGACCGATGCCCGAGCAACAATCCCCCCACCTCAACCAAGTCCCCCCAGTTTATATTCTGAGCATGGTGTTCTATGGTACAGCATATCCCTTTGGCTAGTCTGGGACAACTCTCCTGGCCAGGCTCCCTCCCAGCTTCTTCTACACCTGCTCGCTGTCAGAGCACGGAGAGACTGAAAATTGTTCATTTAGGAGAAGCATTTTTTATCAACAACTGAAACAGCAGTGTGTTATCAAAATTATTCTCACACTAAATCCAAAACACAGCACTGTACCAGCTACTAGGAAGAAGATTAACTCTATCCCAGCCAAAACCAGGACACTGTGTAAGGAAGCAAGCCCAGCTTTTTGCCAGCTGCTCCAGAACAGGTTCTCTGAGCCCTGGATGGGAAATGCTGTGAAGATCATGCGTCTTTCCTTTGCCTGGCCATAAGCATTTTCGCTCAGCTCTGCCTTCATGGTGATACTTTCTGCTCTCCTTGTTGAGAGGAAGGAGTGGAGATGCCTCTCTTCCCCCGGGCTAGTCTCCCTGCTCCCTCTTCAGCCCTGGAGGGTGGACATGGCAGTCAGTCAGATTGTCTCTTCCCAGAATAAATATGACATTGCATCTAGCAGAACAAAGAGTGGAGGTTGGTCAAGATGGCTGAAGATGAGGAGTGAATACAATGTCTTCCATCCAGGAAGGTAAAGGGAGGAGAGGAGAAGTGGTGATTGGAAAACCTGCTGCTTTACAAAAAAAAAAAAAGGTGGACACTATTAGCTGTAGGCTGAGGCCCCTTCTGTCCTGCCATGAGAGCGCAGGAGCTGAGCAAAGAGGCTAGGCGAGGACTGCTGATGGAAAAGGGCTACCAGTGGCCTGTGACTGGTTCCTACATTGTCCTGACAGCAGTGGAAGGGCAGATCTGGGCAAGCTGTGGGAAGGCAGACTGCACTGGGGACCTGCTAGGAGTATAAGTGTTTCTGTAGTCCTTTTAGTACCTATGCACCCACTTCTGCATCCAGTATTGGGCCTGCATTATGCACTGTGCGTATGCAATTATGCATTGTGCATAACACAACATTTGGTATGTTGAGAGCTCTGTTGGAGAACTTCTAGGGATGGTGACCTCTTTCCTCTGCAGGGATCTTCTTGTACGTAACTTGCACTGTCTAATAGCTGAGATCTGCCAGAGCCATGGCCATGCTGTGCTCATAAACATCCAGTTGGAAGATAGTCTTTTGTGGAGGAACCACATCCTGTCTTCTGCACACCTTGTAGCAGACAAGCTGTACACACAGGGGCTTATTTTACTTAGCGAAGATGTGGGCTTTTTCACTTGTAAATTACAAGGTTTGGTAGCACTGTGCCCTTGGTTTCCTCCAGTTCAGCCTCTCCTTAAGAGCAGGACTGTTATGAACATTATTAGATCAAGGAGGATATGACTTTGTCTAATCAAGTCATGAAAAGATTTCCGGGGATGGAGACCTATCACCACTCAAGCAACCTCTAGTGCAGAACACTCCTCCACACTCCTTGCAAACTAGCTTTTCCTAATGTCCATGTGTCTGCTTTATTTTGGATCAACATCTCTCACTGTACCACATGCAGTTTGCTGATGCTGCCCCAACTCAAGCTGTTTTTTGCCATATTTTCTCCAAGAGTACTTTCTTTTAGTGCTGAGCTTTCTCCTGTGGCTGCAGTTGTATCAAGAGGGACACTGTGTCACTGGGATTGTTTTTGCCAATTTTATGATCTTCACAGTCATATCTTGCCCTGCTGTCTGAATTGCAGGTGCTTTGAAGTCCATTCCTATGACAGCTGAACCTTGATTCTACAAGTTGAAATAGGAGAGAGCTGTCTTTCCTAAGCACTGTCCAAACATTAAATTCCTTTTACTTACTTTATACCTTATTCGCTGTTAACATTTTACAGGTAGTCTGCATGGGATGTCAGTATCTCGCTGTGTGTTCCTGCTCTCCATAGGAACGGTATAGCAATAATTAATATCTCCTGTATGCTTGGCAAATCCTTTCTGCAGAGGAGCCTTGAACCTCCAGACCACACACTCTCTCCCACCTCAAGAGTAGTTTAGCTAGAAGTTTCTTGGAGTGAGGCTGTTAATTTACTTTTGGAAAGATAATGTTCTGCTCTAAGAAGGAACTGCTGCATCCAGACATTACAGTGATTATTTTTTTTTTTCCTTTGGTGTGAGTAAACCTAACCACTAAAGCTGTAATGAGCATGGAGTTGTTCAAGAACGCTGTGCCTCTGGGACTGTTTGGGGAGCTAGCCAGTTGCATATAATCTCAGTTTTCTTTCTGCCTGTGAACATCCCTTCTTTCAAGATTAGCTTCCTGGGATCACTGCTTTCTTTTTCAAAAAACTTGCATTTCTTTGGTTTTGTTTGGGGTAGGTAGCCGTTACTGTATCAGAGATCATTTGCACCTAATATTTTCTGTACAAAAAATTTAATCAGCTAAGAGTGTGGACAAATGCAGGGTTAACATAGGTAAAACATGCCAAGGTAAAAGTGAGCAACAAAAGCAACTGGTGATCTGCCAGGACTGATTTTTACAGGCCTGTGTATTTGTCTGAGATGGGGTTGGCTCTGAGCTGTGCCAGTATGTTGGGAGAAGGCAGGCAATAGGACAGGACTTGTGTCCTAGCACTATTCACAGCCCAGATCTTCCAGTGTGATGTGGAATGTGAGCTTTGTGGATCTTTGTGTTGATGGGTGTTTACAAATCTCCAGGTTTGACTGCCCAGGATCAAGCAATACAGATTCCTAGCATTTAACAGTCATCCCAGCAGGATGCAATACCATGCCAGCAACACAGACATTTTGGTTTAGAAGCACTTGGGCCCCTGTTTGTCAGGTTATGATGCACCTGGCTTCTGGCCATTGAGTGCATGCTTCCTTTCAAACACCCACGAGAGTGAACAATCTAAGTCTTGCTGTAACTCAAGAGCTGCTTGGTTGGGTTCCCCACTCAGCATCACTGATAATACCACTCACCAAAAGCACATTAAACAGATCTATATGGGGCAAAATCAAGACCTGTCACGGTCTTTGTCCATACTCCCAGCTGACTGTGTGGGGCTCTCTTTCACCCATAACCTTCTTGCCTGATCTGCATTTCTTGTCCTTTGGGCAGTAGGATCTTCTCACCATCCCCACCATGTGCCTTTTACTGTCTGGGTCTTGTGGAAAAAGCAGGAGTTAGTAGTCTGAATTGCCTTTTCTGCCCAACAGTGATAGTTTCCTATTTGAAATCTGTTGTACCAGTTCTATTAAGTTTCACTGCTCTCTGTGGGAAGGGATTCCTGTGTATAGCATGCTTTATGTATCTCATTTAAACACCATTTAAAATGCTGTCTCTCAGAGGGCTGTGGTGCAGTTACAAACCAGACATGCTGAACCTTGTTGTCAGTGGAAAAAACCCCAACAGGTAACTGTAGCTATTTCTATGATCTGTCACACCTCTTTTTTTCCCTTCATGCCAGCAAAATTTAGACTTGTTTTTGGTCGTGAACCGTCTGAGGGCTAAATGAAGCATGCATCCAGACTGGCTTAGTTACTTTCCGTCTTTCAGGCTTTCCTCACCCAAGATGTTGTATCTTTCATGCTTCCTGATCTCTGTGCTACTAGGATTCATCTCCTATTAAACTTGCTGCCATATGGCCCTGCCCCAGCGATAGGGACTGCTGATGTACACACAGCCCAGCTGGATGGTGAGGGAGAGAGCTGTCTTTTCTCTCCTGTGCTCTCCTCTCTCCATCAGAGATGTGCACTGAGTGCAGAGATGGGTCATGCCAAAGGGGTGAAGACCAGCAGAGAAAAACACAGCTACTGCTTGCTGGCTGAGAGTTGATAGCGTGGAGCCCAAATGGGGAGGGTGAGCCTGTGCTGGGGAGAGGGAAGTGGGGCTCTGCAAGCCTTGCTGGGACAGCCAATCCTTATGTCATGGGGCATTGTGTTTCTTTCCTTGCAGATGTCATGGCACCCACAGTACCGCAGCTCTAAGTTCCGCCATGTGTACGGCAAAGCTGCCAGCAAGGAGAAGTGCTACGACTGCGTGCCCATCACCCGCAACGTCCACGACAACCACTTCTGCGCCGTGAACCCCCACTTCATTGCGGTGGTGACTGAGTGCGCGGGTGGAGGGGCCTTCCTTGTCATTCCCATCCACCAGGTAAGCTCCGCCAAGGTGAGCCGGCTTTCGAGAGGCTGGAGGAGAGCTGGGCTTTCTAAGGAGCTAGATTGCACAGAGGATGTTCAGTTAATGCTGTTGCCCGAATTGCAAAATGATGGAAGGGGCCCCAGATGCCCTGGCAGATGATTCCTGGGATGTGTGTACCTTGCTGCTTGCAGATTTTTAACACCTTCCTTAATTTCATATCTCATTTGCCTTTCTTGTATAATCAGCAGGAACTGTGCTGTTCAGATGTTTGTCTCCTAGGACAAATTGTGAATAAAAAAGCAGTTAGTAGATACAAAGAGCAAAAACTGAAAGGTGCTTTAGTGGCGTGACTTCAGCAGTGATCAAAGGAGAATATGGTATGTTTTGCTCTACGATCTCCTTCGTGAAAGAATGGAGGCACGGCTAGCAGGTAAATGAAGCTCTTGAACTTCAAGCACTGATGCTGGAAAAACTTCCCTTTCAGGAACAAATCCCATGTTTATGGGTTTTGATGACTTAGGGATCTGATGGGAGGGAGAAGCTGGCCATCTGATGTTTATTGCTTCAGAAAAATTAGGCATGCACTAATGTGGATTAACTTCAGTATGAGATTATGAGTTCTCTGGAATCAGGGCAGAACAGATGAAAGACAAAAGTTCAGCCTTTAATTAAAAGTTAATTGATGGTGTTATTGCAATGTGACTTTTTCAATATATATAGCTGCTAAGGATGAAAGTGAACTGGCTATTCTTGAAGATCCTAGGACAGTTCCAGGCCCTTCTAGACTTTGTTTATTCAGCTCCTTCACCACTGGTGCTGTTCAGAGACGATCCTTCTAAACATAACCACCACCCTGTTTTTCTTGACTGAGTCACTTCTGCCCCCTCAACCATCATCTCTTGAGGCTGAAGAACTTGTCTTTTATCACAGAGTTGCATCTATAAGCAGGCAGCTGGTGACTGTGGGACATGGGGTGGGACCCAGCTTTCAAAGTGTTGGCAAAATGAGCTGAAGGTGTTTGCACTGCTTGCTATTAATTCTGTCTTCTCACCTCTTCTCAGCCTGGCTAGTCTTTAGTAGAAATTCTTCCATTGTTAACACCTGCTCAGATACTGTACCCAGATCTGAAATATTGCTTGCAGAAGTCTAAGACATGGTAGAACTAGAAGATACAGAAAAGAATAATTAAAGTACATCAATGCAGATGTGAAATTGCTTTCATGTGAGAAAAGGCTTTGCAGGTTAGTCCTCAGTCAGTCTGGGAGGACAAATGAGCAAGATATATAAAACTGTGAAAAGCATGGGGAAGAAGCATAAGGAGCAATTCTTCTTGATTTGTGTGGTGAAGGGAAGGGGATCCTGGAGACCAGGGAGCAGACTGTTAGCAGCAGATGGGAACACTTCTGCAGTTCAGATGCAGAGCTCCCTGTTCTGGGTACTGACAAGCTTGGAAGAATTAAGGGGTTCCAAACAGGACAGAGTTAGGAAGAGGAGTTGGTTTACAAACTGTGTTTGTTCAGATGCAGGTCCCCTAGTTCATGAAGTCCCTTGAGCGTTGACCTTTGGTGGTGGATCAGGGAAACAATCTGTACATGCTGCACTTCATACAGCCATTCTCTGAATACTTGTTCCTGACCCATGCTGTGGGGGCACAGCAGCCTCAGCCAGCCACAGAGAGGGGTTCCTTGAGTCGGAGGGCTGTGGTATCAGTTACTTTTTTTCATTATATGCTTCCAAACTCGTGCCACCTGGTGAAAAGTAGCAGCTTTTGACTTGTGTTGGTGGTGGTATTTGTCACTACCACCTCCTCCTGTGATGATGACCCATGGTAGAAGCGTACTAGCATCTTGGCTTGTGCCCTCACCTGCCAGGGCACTGAAGGAAGCCTGGTCTGGAGGGAGATATCTGCCTGGGGTGGTATTGCCCTCTCATGATGGAAAACTGATCCGTGGTTACTTTTGATTGGTTTCATAGGGAGCAGCCACATCCCAAGCATGCCACAGTCTGGAGGAAGAGTCCAAGAGCCAGGATGTCATGTTTAGCCAAAGCAGGAGAGAGTAGCTGGGACAGGGAAAGCTGCACTTTCCGGGGAGGATGAACAACCTGTTCAGGGAGTTGCTCTTGTCCCTCCAATGCTTTTTTGAGTTAATTCTGCATGTGCCACCAGAGGGGCTGCCTGCCTCGTGATGTGCTCGAACACAGGCTCAACCTTTCTCCATTTAACCATACCTCCTTGCTTGTTTGCTGTGCTCCTCTCCTGTGGTGTCATGGACACACAGCTCTCTCCATCTCTCCTTGAATAAATGCCATTATTGCCTTCTGCACCATTCTTCCTCTCTGAGAGCCTGAGGGTGAGGTAGGGCTGGGAGCAGCAGAGGTTATATAGGGAATATGCTCTTTGCCCTAGACAGCCTCCTTTCAGCAGGCCTTTGCATTCAACCTGAGGAGGAATTAGTTGAATATTTCCCACCACTTGGAAAATGGTCTTCTGTTGCAGGATGTGTCAGTTAGGTCCTCATGGAGATGTGCTGCTGAAGCCAGCTGGGTGGAATGGCAGCACATCTCACCAGGGAGGGAAGTGTCTGTGGCCACAGGGGCTGCCTGATGCCCAGAACAGACTGAATACCTTTGTAAATCTTGCAAATATGAGGAGACACAGGCTCAATGACTATAACTGATATGAGCTGCTTTCCCCTAGCATGGCCTGGGTGTGGATTGGTGTCTGACACAGATGTGCTGGGCAAATGCATGCACCGCATGCCAAGGAAGGATCTTGACTCAGCACAATTTTGTGGCTTTCCTTTGAAAGACCAAGGCCTGCCTTTTTCCTTCTCTGATGACCAGAATTAGTTGAGACTGCATCTGTCTCTTCCTTTGCAGCATAAAGCAAAGGGATAGCAAAATGAGAACAAAGTCCCGAGAGACAGGGAGATATTTGTGTCCAGGTCTTTGCAGTCTCCAGTCTTTCAGTGTGTCAGCACCAGGTGTGAAAGGAAGAACACCTGTGGTTGTGTAGACCTCTGAGACACAAACCCCTGTTCCTTCACTCTGTGGGCAAGGACTGTGAAATGAAACCTGTGATGACCCCTCAGTCCTTACTTAACTGATGCCATATGTGAGTGCTATGATGTGACGACAAGGTGTGTTAGTACCCTTTGGAGAACACCTGAGAAGTAGGGCTGACCCATCTCATGGTAATCTACCCTGTACAAATCTGCTGGGAGAGTTTTAACAGCTGTTCCATTAGAAGTGGTTTTCATCAAGGAACTCTAGCTACTTTGCAAAAATGCTGGGAGTTTAGAAAGCAAGTAGTTGAAAAATTACTCATTTTCAAGCTCTGCATGAAACTGTGGGTCAGGTACCTCTGCATGAATGACAACACATCTAGTTACTGAAATAGTTTTTGATCTGTAGAATGAAATTTCCCCCGGCCCGTGAAGAGCTTCACTTCCACATGCAGATGTGTGTCTGAGACCAACAGATCTACCTGTCACATATGTTTGTTGGCAGCCTGGAAGTCTCCCAAATGGTGTGGGGAGGAGACAGGCAGCCAGCTCTGGGAGGTGACAGAGTTCCCACAGGGATCAAGGGATCCCTGCGGAGCTGGCTGCCCAGCCCATTGAGTTGCCAGCTTGAAACCAAGCCCTGAAGCCTACAAAAGGACACCGTGGGCGGGGGAACGCTGCTTATTAAAGGCCTTTTATCTCTCTCCTGCCTTCCCAAGTCACTTTGCATTGTCGCTGTTATAAAAGGGAATTGTTTTAGACTAGTCTAAAAAAGCACAGTCTTTTACATTTCAAAGCCCCCTGGGTGTTCAATTTAAATCAGGTTAGTCCCAGTCTATGGGACAAACTTTCCAATGAAGCCAGAATAGTTACACATCATCGCATGTTCTGCATTCAAAAATGTACAAATTTTCAAGGTTGGGAAAATTACATCCTAGACACATCCAGGTTAGGGCCAGCACTGATTCCCTTCTGCTGTGTACTCTTAAGGCCCACCTTTGGAGAGGTGCAGGGAGCACACCAGCAGAAGTGTCTGCTTTCCAGGAGAGCATGCATTTGCATTCTTTGTGATTTACAATTCTTCCAGGTGGGATAAAAGCAAGCAGGTAAGCATCACCAGCTTGCCACCGTGTCTCTCTCCTTAGGTGACTGACCTTTGCATTTGGACCAATGACCAATGTCTGGGATGTAAGGTGGGTCCTGGAGCTCCCCATACTACTCCTGCTCCTGACAGGGAGAAAAAAGTGCGGCTCCAATGTTGATGAAATCACCAGCACCCTTCCTACTACGTAATAGAAATATCGACTTTGTAGCTACTGTGCCTGCAGTATGGGTTTATCCTGATGCGACACAGCCTCCATGTGGCACAAGGCCCTCAATACTCCTTAGTAGCTGTGCAAGATTTTTATGAGGGAAGATGCCATCCAAACATGGCATTTTTTTGGACTGTCTGGAATGCTGATTGAATCTGGTGAATGACTGGATTTGAACACACCCAGAGAGAAATAGATAACTTGAAAGAAAAACTGCATTTGTAGTTTGTGTTACAAATGTCTTTTTGCTTAAAAAATAAAATAAATGCTAGCTGTTGAGGAAAAAAAATACATGCTAAACCATTTTTTTCCTGCTTATAAGAAATATGTTCTGAAAGAAATTTATTTTTTGTTTTTTTGTTTTTTTGTTTTTTTGTGTGTGTTGTTTTGTTTTGGTTTGTTTGTTTGTTTGTTTGTTTTTGTTTGTTTGTTTTTGTTTGTTTCCCAGGATCTTTAAAAAATATGGAAGATTCAACTCACTCATAAGTGTTTCCCCTCTTAAGTTTTATTCTGGTGTCTGAACCAAATACTGTCTTCTAACTTCAGCAGTCTTTATTGCTGCATGTGTACAGATTTCTTGATCGTAGTGTGTACTTAAGAAGGCCTGAACAATTCTTTCCTTTATTTTTGATGATATCATCAAGACTTGCCTTTCAGGGACAGCAAGAGCCCATTCTCAACAGATAGAGAACACCCAGGGCATTTGGAGCATAACAAGCAGAAAGAGGTTTCTTGCTGGAGCTGGCTTGGATTTTCCTTGAAAATGTCCTGTAATTCCATGGCTCACCTTAGTTTTGATGATACTTGTTTTTTTCCAGACAGGTAAGCTTGATCCACATTATCCCAAAATATGTGGGCACAAAGGGAATGTTCTGGACATCAAGTGGAACCCATTCAATGACTTTGTGATAGCTTCGTGTTCAGAAGATGCCACAGTAAGTTTACCAGGTTGTACTCTGCGTTATTACCTGGCTAATGTGCTTTTTGGGAAAAGAAGTAAAAAAGAAACTAAAAGGCCCATGGATGAGATGTGAAAGCATATATATATATATATATATATATATATATATAAAAAAATCATGAAAGAGTAAGATTCCTTTATTTCTCTTGAGGTTAGACCTGTGTGGTCTCTTTCAGGTGACATACCAAAATCATTGTGAGGATAAAGATCGGTTTTGTGGGGACTTGCATCTTTTTGGGTGCAGTGAGTTTGCATGAGATGCAATGTTTGCATGAGAAAAACATAATATGAATTTAAAGTGGAATGACTATTCAAGTTTAATTGCTATGAAAGTCTTCCTTTACTTCAGAATAAAAGCTTCAACACAACGTAATCTGGAACAGCTATTTCAGATCAACTCCCTGCAGAGCAGGTTTGAGCTTGTTACTGCATTCAGTTACTCTGTAAAGTCATGCTGGATCAGTTATGGGGTAGCTGAGGAATCTGTGTCATACTATTCTGCAATAAGTGGTTTGGCTGAAGTTAGTATAATTAAGTTGCAGTCACATATTTCACTCCAGTGTAGCTTCAGACTAGTTACTAGGAATTGAAAGATTCAATTCATGTTTGTAAGGGACAGTTTAGCCCATATGTACCACTGAAAAGTTGCTTTCCATGTCCTGTCAAAAGCATGATGTTGACTTCTGTGGTAGTGAGGACATCTGACTAACTAGTGTGCTTTTTGCTAGAGATTCCACATGTGTTTTCTCTCACTGGGTATATTCACCCTCTGCCACATAGCATCAAGGAGGTTTCCCATGTCATTTCCTCCAGCCCTGGCTCGGTGCACATCCTCTGCCATTTCATCTCTGTCAAAAATCATTCCTGAGTTGGAAATCTAGGGTCTTTGAATTGTCCTTCCTGTTTAGTGACTTGCCTTTGCTTCTCTGGATATTCATGCCTCTTTTGAAGGCTTCTTTCAATTTCTGGGCTGCCTGTGAGGGTTTTATTTTATCTTCCAACCTGTATGCCAGGTTTTCATGCTATTTCAGAAAGGACTTGTGGCAGGAAGGCATCATCATGACCTCTATTTTGAGCCTCAGATGAGAAATGAGCACAAGCTTTGGAGCTTCCTGCTGCAGTTATAGAACCACAGAACCATTTGTTTTGAAAGGGAGGTTGAGTGGTCTCTACCACCACCTCTTGTGCAGGTCTGTGGAGCTGAGTCTTGAAAACCTCCATGGATGGAGATTTCACCACCTCTCTGGGCAACCTGTTCCTGTTCTTCACCACTCCCATGGGGAATTTTTTTACCTTATATACAGCCAGAACCTCCCTGGTGTAGCTAGTGACCGCAGTATCTCATCCTCCCACCCTGGACTTCAAGACAGAGCCTGGCTCTATTTTCTGAGTGGTCTTGTCAGTATTGAAGGCTTCTATCAGTTTTCCCTGAAGCTGTCTCTTCCCGAGGCTGAGCAAGCCTGTCTCCCTCAGCTTCTCCTCACAAGTCAAGTGCTGCAGACTCCTGAGCATCCTGGTGGCCTCCACTGGATTCACTTAAGTTTATCAGAATCTTTCTTGCAGTGGGAGCTGCAAAACTGGATGCAGTATTTCAGCTCTTGTTTCATGATTGCTGAGTAAAGGGCAAAATCACTTCACTTGATCTAGTGGCTATCTTCCTGTTGTTTCAGACCAGGATGTTGCTAGCTTTCATCCCTGCCAGGGCATACTGCTGGGTCATATTTATTCTATTGTCCACCAGGACCCCGGGGCCTATGCAGAAGGGCTGCTCTCTGTCAGCTTTCTTTTCTGGTTTCCTACTGAAACTTGGCACTGGGTCATTCTCCAGGCTTGAAAATAGAAACACTGAGCTTGTCACTGGTCTCAGTACCAAAAGTTGTTCTAAGAAGTCTTGCTATTTGTGACTGTACTCTCTTTTTTTTTGTGCTACCCTCCCATCATCATCCTGGTACCAGGAAATGGGATCTTAGGGGTCCCCTGCATAGTGACACAGTGTAGGGACACCTCTTCCCTCCCCGCTAAGTAGTGAGGACAGCAGACTGTTTCTTAGTGTGACTGTCTTTCCTGGTACCTGGTAGCTGGACCTGTGGAGATCACTTAGCAGGTCAGTTGAATCAGATTGCTCCAAGCCTTGTCCAGATGAGTTGGGAAGATCTCCAAGGCTACAGATCCTGTGGCCTCAGTGGGCCCTTCTTCCAGGGGTTGAGTACCCTTCTAGGGAAAATAGGTCTTCTCTGATCTTCAGGGAGTGCCCATATTGCCATTTGTGTCCATTGCGTTTGGTGGTCTCCTTGTGCAACTCCGATGAGTCTGGATCCATCTTCTCTGTGCCTTCCTGCAATGTTGAAGGGTAGCCAGAAGAGCTCACCTTTGCCTTCTCACTTCTGAACTGAACAAATTATTTTCTTTTTAGCTCTTCTCAGATTTGCTGTGCTCTCATTCCCTCCTCATCTCAGTGGTTGCTGTTGGACTCACTCCATGGGGTCAACATCTGTCTTACTTGTCCTGGCCTGTACTGGAAAGCTCAGATTGGACATACTGCTGGGACACCTCCACAGCAACATTTTCTCTGTCCTGAGAGAAGTCTGGGGAAGTTTTTTGGGGTCCTAGACGTGTCCACCACTTCTACTGGGCTGGACATCAGAGCAAGAGCATTCCTTGCAGTCTTGTTAAAGGCCTGGTGCTCTCTGCCATTTCTGAGCATAAGCATAAGCCACTGTTCTGGCTTATGTGCAAGGTTGTATCTGATTGCTCTTACTGGGCTGGGTCTCCCTGGAACTTTTGAGGAAGGCTGAAAGCTTCTGTGTAGGTGGTGGAAATAGCCCACCACCCACATTCCTCGGAGGTTTCTTGGCCATTAACCAGCCTTCGTGGAGTTTGCCTTAGTAGTACCACAGCTATTGTGTATGGCACAGCTATTGTATATGGAGTGTAACTGCAGCATCTAGAGTGGCACTTCTGGGCACAGATGGAGAGTCTATGTGAATACCCAGTGCTCTTCCCAGTTCCCACTGCTGCTTCAGACAGGCTTAGAACTGAGGCCAATGCAAGTAGCCAGGGGCTGAGAGTTTGAATAGTATGGGGCTTATCTTCCTACCCCTTCTGTTCCTTTTGGCAAATTGTCGGGCACATATGAATTCAGCTTGCTGAAGATCTCCCTTGTGGTTAGAGGGGCAGCCCTGTCCCTGCTACTTTGCTTTGTCAGGTTTTCTTCAAGATGCAGCAGGGTAGACAGCTTGTGGATTGTCCCTGATTGTCCTGGGAGGACTGGCTCCAAGACCTGCTTCTTCTGCACAGTAAGCACTGGCAATTTCTGCCATTTAATGCATCCTGAGATTCCAGCCAGGGACTTTTCCCTGATTTTACCAACAACCATTACATAGCATGGGGAGCGAATGGGTCATTCTAGACAATTCATCTCAATGTGAACACAATCTATTTTTCACTTTCTTACTCTCTCAGCCCAATTTCTTTAGTGTTGACTGTTGAAGCTGTAGAGTGTGGTGCTTTCTCTTACAGCTGTAGAAGTTCATCTGGAGGCTACTGAATCCCACCGTCCTTAGGTTTCTGATGGGCTTGATTCCTCAGCGGGATAAAACACTCTTTACAAGGGTGCTCGTGATTTTTCCCACCAGCTTCCAGAATTTGTGCCTCTCCTCCTTTGGCTTAGAAAGGTGTGATCCTCATCAGCCAAACAGTGGGAGACTTGGGCAGGTGTGGCTAATTTCCATGAACTCTCTGCTTCAAAGAGCATTTCCCTTTTGCTTCAAGCTAAGTCCTAGAAAAATTATGACAAGCATAGTAGTTTTCACTGAGCCAAGGGGTTAGTCATCTGTCAACATCCTAAATACTTGTGCTTCTAGGGTTAGTATGAGAAAGACTCTTTCATTTTACCTGCATAGGTTCAGCCCCTTTTGCAGGTTTCCTCTATTGTCCCCAGGAGGACAGAGGATTTGTCTTCATGCAGCATCCTTCGAGAACCCATTGTTGCTGGTAGATGTGTTATAAGACAGCACACTCCCAGTGTTGCGTGTTCAGTGTGGTGCTGCCCAGTCTCTCTGCTCAGGGCATCTGTTGTGTGCCCACATAGGTGGGCTTCTGTGTACTTTGACAAATGTCTGTGTCATTCGCAAAGCATTTGGCACTGGTGCATTTTTCTATGGGACAAACAGTAATATAGCTGTCATCTGTCCAGGGGAGTTCTCAGTTCTTTTACCAGATTGTGTTGAGTGGATGACTGCTTGGATCAATCACTGCTATAATATCTTCGCGGACTCTTTGCTGAAGTTTATTTCAGATTTCCTTGATCCCGCTCAAAGTTTGTTAGGAGGCAAGGTCTGCAAGATCTGTGGTTTACTTCTTCCCCTTGGGAATAGCTTTTTGTAATTGTGCTGACATCTTGGATGGGTGGGAAGGTTGGATTGCCAAGTTAAAACAAACTGGTAGAACTGCTGGCTAAAGATAGAGGGTGAAGAGGAGTCTTCAGGCTCACAGAAAATGAAATATGCTAATTTAAAGGACTGGCATTCAATAAAGCCAGGAACATTCATATTCACTACCAAGAGAATTATAATACCAAAGGAGTAATAGTTATTGGTGAGTTTCAAATTAGCTCCTTACTCAGTAATCTCACAAAGACCCATCCTGTGCCATTCAGGTTAAAATCTGGGACATCCCCAAGCACTTGCTAACAAGAAACATTACCAGTCCGAAGAAGGAACTTCTTGGGCATGTTCGAAGAGTGGGCCTCATTGAATGGCATCCCACTGCTAATAACATCCTCTTCAGCTCTGGCTATGACTACAAGGTGGGTCTGTTCTCTGTGGAGCTGTCCTCCTGGGACACCCTGTTAGGCAGGGTGTTTTGAAATTTATTTTAATTTCAAGCTGTAAGATAATACTGAAGAGTTCAGAAACCTTCTTCAGTGGGAAATTCCATGGTGATGCCAAAGGCAAAAGGACATTGCTACAAGCTCAGAAGGACTTGCTAATTTTCCAGTCTTCTGATGTACTTCTTTACTGTATTGGATACAATATGCAATGTAATGCACTTTTGTTTGGCTTCATTCTTGTGTTAGTGCAAATATCAGCACTGATTCTGGCCCTTTTTATGTATAAAATGTGGTTGCAAGGAAATTAGAATATTGGACATTTTGAGCAGACACTGTGTCCCTGATATATTGCTGTGAGTACAAGGAATTATTTTAAATGCTGGAGAATAACCACTTACGATGGTAAGACCTATACATGTAGAGAAGAGAGGAAGAAGGGAGTAGGGTACACAAAGTCCGCAGTTGGTCAGTCAACCAAGAGCTGATTTTTTTTGTTCTTTTGCTGCAGATAATGATCTGGAACCTTGACACCAAGGATGCTGTCATCTCGAACCCAGTGAAGATCCTCAGTGTTCATGAAGATGTGGTCCTCTCCATGTCATTCAACACAGATGGCAGTCTTCTTGCCACAGCCTGCCGGGACAGAAAGATACGTCTGATAGACCCTCGTGCAGGAACAGTCCTACAAGTAGGTTGGGTTTAGAAGTTTGTGGTCCAGCTGATCTCACCCCTTGGAGTGTTTCCTCTTCTGGGTAGTTTCATTGCCATTAAAGAAGATGCATCTTTGCCCTACATTGCCCAAGGCACCAGATGGTGCTATTGCCTTCTACTTTTCTTGGAACGCTGTCATTGTTGAAAACAGGGTTTCTGCATCGTGCTACCATAGTCCTTACTCCGTGAAACCCTTCTTGATGTGCACTGTTTACATAGCTCCCTGCTGCAGTCCTTTGTGGGATGCCTTGCAAGGGCTTGTAGAAATCAGGTGAATAGGTGGATGTGAATGTACATTTGTCCCACTGCCAGTGTTGCTCTTGTTGCCTGTGCTTTGTATCTCTTGGTAAGTGAAGCTGACTGCATTTTGTAGGCATTTGCACAGATTTGTGTACACAGAAAATCCTGCTTACGACTAATAGGGATTGCTCTCTAGTAAATGTGTGAATCAATAGTTAGAGAGATTCACTGGGCTTTTGGGAATTGTCCTGAAGACTTTAGGCCACCTTTCTTGGATGCCCATGAAATCCCGTTCATTGTAGTTCAGCTAGGCTGAGCAGATCTTTCAGATGTGACTGAATCAGAGGTCTCATGTAACATGAAATGTAGCTATGCAACAGGTGCTGTCTCTTATTCACGCAGTGTCCTTTCTCTTCCTATAGGAAGCCAACTACAAGTCTCACAGAGTCAATAAAGTCTTGTTCCTTGGAAATGTGAAAAAGCTGTTCTCTACTGGAACATCTCGGTGGAATAATAGGCAAATTGCATTATGGGATCAAGTGAGTTGGACCAGCAATCTTAACCGTTCCACGTTCAGTTTTCTCTCTTTTGATGTCACTTTAACTTTTCCACCTGCCAAATACCCCATAATCGGTTTATAACATCAATTCAAAAGTAACCTGTCAAATTCTATATGGGTGATCAGTCTTACTGCTATGACACTGTTAACTGAGTATGAGTTTCTGAAGAAGCTCTCAAAGCTTTCAGCACATAAACCACCAGAACAAAGAGAATTCTGTGCCCACTACAGGGGGAAATCATTCAAAGGACCTTTGGGTGGTCACTGTAGCTCTGACTTAAAAGCAGCTCATACTGGTCTTAGTGGCAAATTGTTACTGGTACTGGAAAGAGAAATGAGCTCTAGACAGAGCCTACTCAGGTGAAGCCCTCAGTGGAGAAAAAGGTGTAGGGTGTTTTTGATTTCTGACAATTCCTGACAGTAGAGTATTGAGATAGCATTTACTGGTCACTTCCAAGACATGATTTTCTATGACAGCTGCTAGCTTTATGAAACCCTGCTCTCCTCTACCCTTCTCATATGCAGTGAGATGCTTTTCCTTTCTCAGCATCTCGCTTTGTTCCCCTGTGTCAACTACCTTGCAGCACGATCTTTTGCCTCTTTCTTGTGCTTTCACCCTTTGTACCAGACAAAGCTGGTAGACCAGGTCTACGATTTGCCATTTGGCTATGTTTGGACATGGCTTCTTTGCATATGTGAGAGGCAAAGCACTGTGCTGCTTCCTGAAGACTTTCCACAAGGCTGAGCAGTGCTCTGACATATCATGGATCTCACATCAGGGTTTCACTGCCTTCAGAGCTGCTGGAGGAGCTGGCCACACCTAGTTTGAGAACATAGTGAGAAGGCCTGTGAGACCAAGTGCATGCAGCCTCCTTAGGGACAGGCATTGGCACAGGACCAACCCAGCAGGCATCTTTCTGAGGTCTGTGTCCACCCTTGTCATCACTGCATCTAAACAGAAACTCTGACTTCCAAGCCTGCAGCTGGGCAGTTCTGCAGGACAAAGTATGTATTAACCCTATGCTAAATACATATTTATGTGACAGTAGCCACAATGGCAGCCAGGGCATTCTATACCCTGCCCTATTGGTCATCCCAATATTACTGCCTTCAGCAGTGCAGGGGTAGTTTTGTATAAGACATGCCAGCCTTGTGTATGGAGTGGTGTGCTATGTCCTTCTACATGGCTTGCCTGCAAAAGGCCAATGGGAGCTTCTTCCCTTGCAGTGGGCACCTTCCCACCGTGCAGTGTGGAGACTGCTTGGCTGATATAGGCTGATCTTTTGGTGGGTGGTGCACTAGTCTGCAGGTATTGCCTTGACTGGAGGTAGTGAGGGAACATGAGTAAATCAGTGTGCAATACAGACATGCCCTGAAGGCCCTCCACCTCCCTGAATCTGGTGGCCCACATTGAGGGAGGCAGTGTTTCTTACCATATCTTACCCTGAAATGTCATCAGGTGCCTGAGGTGGTAGGAACTGATGTCCTGAGATGTTGCACCCAGTCAAGATCCAGGGATAGAGCACCCATTTCCCACCCATAGAGCTTTGAAGAAGTCTGTGCATGGCCCTCTGCTCAGGACATTTGGCCATGGCCTAGGGTCATTGTAGAGCTGCACTCACATGCTGCTGCCAGGCGGGGTTCAGGTAAGGTGTCCTGGACTTGAGGTGACTGATGGGTGATCGCAGCCGTTTGTTTTTTCTGTGTCCTGCCCAGAATGACCTTTCTGTGCCTTTACTGGAGGAGGATCTGGATGGTTCCTCAGGACTCCTGTTTCCCTTCTATGACTCAGACACACACATGCTTTACGTGGTGGGAAAGGTAAGTGCTTTCCATATCAGCCAATTCTGACCTGTCTGATTCTTCTCCTGACCTGTGTTGTGTCAGGCTGAAGTCACAGTTGCTCCTGAAGCATATTAACCTAAGGATATTGTCTGATGGGATGAAGCCTGAGGGCACTGCAGCATCAGGCCACATTTGCCACTGCAGACGTACCACGTTTACTGTGGGGAAGTGCACTGCAGAGCCCTAACCTTCCCACACAGGAATCTTGTGGTAAATATTTGGCCCCTTATTGACCCTACATGACTTCTAGGGCCAGGCATTCTTCTCAGACCCTCAGGCTGAAGAGCAGAGCCTGGCTTATGTTGATTTTCTTTGCCTTTAGGGTGATGGAAATATACGGTACTATGAGATAAGCCCTGAGAAACCGTACCTGAACTACCTGATGGAATATCATTCTCATTTACCACAGAAGGGAATTGGTGAGTGGCAGCGTATGTCTAATGTTACAGAAGGATGGTGGCTTCTTTGTTTTAGAGATTGAGTCCAGGACTATTGAAAATATAATTTAGAAAAGAGAGTGGGTCAGATTCCAGTCTCCATTCAGGTTTACAGATTGCAACGGTCAGCATGGCACAGCTCACCTATATATCACAGGTGGTATTACAGGGTCCCAGCTTGGAGGGGTCCCTTTTGACCAGCAGGGAGTGTGCTGAGCAGCTTTACCAGTCACTGCATCCCCTCTCACAGACCTGGTCAAGGTGGAAAGGAGGATAGTCTGAATTTAAAGGTGGAAAATGTTCCTTGCCCTTTGTGAATCTGCTTCAAGATTTTTGGCATTGAACTCTTGACATTGTTTCTACTCTGGGATTTCTCTGGTAATGGGTGCTTCACATCTTAATGCCTTCACTTGCCTGCCTTCTCCTGTACTGACATTTCCAATTTAGAGATAGACCTGCTGTGATTAGGTCACCTCTCCTCTATTGGAGACCCTTGTTTATTAACCTGTCCGCATACTACCCACTGTTTAATTCAATCAAACTACGGAATTTGACTTTCAGCTCCCAGACTCTATTGGTAGCCCTTTCTTGAATATTCTCCAGTCTACCCTGTAAGCCATATTCCTCTATAGACTGATGTCTTTTTAGGACCATTTGCCACCCCTCCACACTACCTGTGGACACTCACATTCTTTCAGGACGTTGCTACAGATATTTAGTAGCACTGGATTTTGTGCCTGCAGATCTCCTTCAAAAATCTGTTATTAGAAAGGAATAAATTTTTCAAAACTTAACTGGAAGATCTCTCTGTTGTTCAGCCTTTATAATCCTTCCGGTGTATAGCATCCCGATTTTATGTTGTCATAGTCTCTTTAGAAAGCATCCCATGAAATAGAAGTGTAGAAGTGTTTTTAAAAGGCCTGAGTGAATCAAATCTACTTCTCTAACCTGATCTGTTCTGCTCATCAAACATGCTGCTGATTATTGCACAAAAAGGTCTTACCCAATATTGCCAAAACAGAATACAATCCAGAGGAGTGGAGTTTGGATTCACATTTAGGTGAATTAATAATGTAAGGAGCAATAGTCCTTCACGTAGAATCTACTGTTTAATGAAGTCATTCGGTATTAGCAGAAAACAAAGCTTCTGTAGGACACCATGGAGCAAGGTCTATAAGGAGAGGCAATCTCTTTTGTTAAGGGAATTGACATGGTTGTAGGCTTTGGGATGTACAAGCTCATGGGAGAGAAATCCTCTAAGGTTACTGGGTACTTAGAGACTTTGTGTGGCTTAGCCAGTCCCTCAAACACAAATGGTGCTGTCTGACAGAGTAGATGTGCACACCTTTCTCATGCTTCATTCTGCTTTGGGACAGTGTTGGGGGAAAGATACTGGGCTGGAAGGGCTTTCAGCCTGATCCATGTAGCTATTCTGGTGTTGTTTAGGTGTCCTGAAATCCCTTCCTGGTGATCCCGATAGTCAAATCCTGTGGCATCACCTGTGAGTTCTGCACAGTCGTCACTCTGTTTACAACTGATGAGAATAAATAAGGAACAGGAGACTTAGCATGAAAACCACAGATGTTATGTGTAACTTGGTGGTCTGACAGAAAAAAAAATATTTAGTCTTGTCATTTGTGCCACTGAGCCAGTTTTGGGTGCAGATTTCAGACCATGGTGCTGTGGAGCTGATGCTGTGACTCCTTTTAGTTTTTGGTGAACTTTGTTCCATGGTGGATGACATTACCCCTTTTATTTCATACTGTCCCACCAGGAATGATGCCAAAGAGAGGCCTTGAAGTATCAGCTTGTGAGATTTTCCGTTTCTACAAGCTGATTCCGACTAAAAGCCTGATTGAGCCCATCTCCATGATTGTGCCTCGACGGGTAAGTTAACCTCAGGTCATGTTCATGTCTGGGACAAGTATCAGTGAAAAAGAGGGCAGTGTCTCCTCTCTGACTCGTGGGGGCAGGAGAGTATGTAGAACAAGGGATTTTCTATCTCCTTGTCTAAGGGACAAATCTGGTAAGTTTGTGGGGCAGCTATGCCAACAAACCCTGGCTGGGTAACTCAAGAGTTGGGTCTCTGTGTAATGGCTAACTTTCTAAGACATGCTCACTGGTCTTCTCTGCTTGGGTGCAACAAGAGGTCTCTCTGACTGTCAGGTCGACTAGCTGGCTGTAAACTTCTTCAGTCTGTGGCATCTGTTTGACATACTGACAAAAGCAAGAGAGAGATATAGGGGATTTTGTTGGGTGACATGAAAATCTCCTCGTGGAAGGAGGAAGAATCACCCCAGGAAAAAGGCAACAATAAGTTCCCAGGTTTCTACCCAGTGGGTGCAGTTGTGTTACAGACAGTTGTTCTACAGCATGTGAGAGACAATGCATTGCATTGAGAGTGATGTAGAAGTAAGCCTCAGAGCTGGTGTGGCTAGAGAATGACCCAGGTCATGAATCTATAGCTAGCCAAGGTATCTCCCATGTGACTGTGTGTCAGCACTGTGCCCTGTACTTCCAGTAACTTTGGAAGGTATGAGTACCTTGAATTCAGAAAAGCAGCAGAGCTAATGCTTGTTGCAACTACCAATCAGGCATGTTCTTCCAACATCACTTCCTTGACCGATTTCTGTCAGCTGATGATCAGCTGATGATTTGTGACTTGTGTTTATCCTTCATATCCACTCCTTCCTCCTCAGGAGCGCTGAGTTCATGAGAGTTGGGTTGGCCTGTGTCACCAACCTCCCCCAGTCTGCTGTCTGTATGTGTAATAACCTTACTGTCATGAATTAAAATAGGCCTTTGTGTGCAGTTCTTCTGAGCTAGGGTGAGAAGGAGAGAGTGAGGTGAGAAGATTTTATGTCCATGCCAGTGAGTGGTCGTGACACTGCCTGAGCTGAGGTGGAACACAATTCTTTCTTCACCACAATCCAGTATGGTCCCTCTAAGCCAAAACCTCACTGACATAGTGACTCTGGACTTCTGTTTGCTTGCAGTCAGAGTCATACCAGGAAGACATCTACCCCTTGACCACAGGAGCCCAGCCAGCACTGACAGCACAAGAGTGGCTGAACGGAGTTAACAAAGGTCAGCATATGGGGAGGTCCCCAGCCCTTCAACTCCCCAGGGTTTGGGCAGGCTGTTGCTGGCTCTCTGGCCTGTTAACTGCCAGAGAAAGAGGAAGGCAGGAAAAGAAAAGACATAACAAATATGGCTGTAAGCTAAAATAATTCAGTAGCTAAAATAATTTGGTGGCTAAAATACTCGCTGTTGTGAATTCTAGAAGTCGCTCCAGTCAAGTGCCTCCATGTTTAAGCCTGCAGGTTGTTTGAATTAATTGCTTACAGCTGATTTCTGAGTGTGATTTGTAAGTGCTAACCCACTGCCTGCCTCCTTCCCTAGGGCCTCTCTTAGTATCCTTGAGACCAGGCTCTGGAGCTGTGAATTCCTTACCACAGTGTCTTGAGCCAGAGCCACTCATGAAAACTACTGACCAGAGCCAGCATCAGGGTCGGGGAGAAAGGAAGCCACTGGAGGACCTGCAGAAGCCAACTGAGATCGAAGACAGCAGAAAACAGCTGAAAGTGGAGGAGAAATTGAAGAAAAATGATCAAATGTGCCTCTCCAATGGCTTTGACATATTTGAGTGTCCACCACCAAAAACTGAAAATGAGGTGTGAATGTCTGGGGTGAAGGGTTGGGGCTGTGGGGAGAAAGCCCAGTGTCAGCTGACAAAAGGGTGCTGTTCACAAGAACCCAGGGAGGGTTTATTTTGCAGACCTGGGCCAATATGAACTTTTCATTCTTTGGGGTAGCAGAAGTTCTGCATGCCCAGTCTGCCACACGGGAGGAAGAAATGTGGCCCAGCAGCACCCCAGCTGAAGGAGGCGGGGAGGGAGGGAGCAATCAGTATTCCAACTTCTTAAGCATTCTTGTGGCACAGGCCTGCTGGGTGGCTGGCTGGGGACAAGGAGGTTCTGGAGAAGAAAAGGGTGGTTTTGCAGTGTAACCCTTCTATGAGAGCTGCACTCAGAGAGCCCAGTGAGGCAACAGGGACATCTGTGGAAGGAGTGGGTGTACCCTGCTCCCTTGGCCCATGGCACACCCATATAGTATTAAGCACCTAATTGTATTGTGGACAGTGACATGGGAAGGGGGGTTGGCTCTGCCCCTGCCTTGGCAGCGCAGTGCCATTGAGGCTGGCTGCTGCTTGCAGCCTGCTCCTGGGAATGGCTCTAGAAAAGGTCCTCGCAGCTCCATCATCTGTCTTCAGTTGTGGCCAACCCCCTCCCTGTATAGTAACCACAGCTTGCACAGTGGTAGATCTCTGTGGTGATTTGCAAGCCCCTTGGCAGCTCAGGGACACGTTTGAGTACATGCAGCTTGTTTGCTTTTAGGAACCCTGGAGGGATTTCCTTCCCACAGTTGTGCTCAGGTTCCCTTTTTAGCTCTGCAAGATTTTAGCATCTGCAGCTTGATGGGGCAGTAATTTCCACAGCTGAATTTCCCTGTGGTGTGAAAAAGGATATTCTATGCATGTTCCTGAGCTGGCACCCCAAGATCACAGAAGCAGCCCTTGCATGGCTGGATGCTCTGCTGTATGCACAGTGAAAGGCCATGTTAGTTCCAGCTGGAGAGGGTAGATCATGATCAACAGCAAGAAAGAAGTAAAAAGACTTGCCCAATGACAGAGCAGGAGATGTGGCAGTTCTAGGAATTTATACTTCAAATACTTGCTGTGTGTAGCCTCTCTTTGAGTGATCAGAGTTATGAAGACTATTTTTTTCTGATCTTTTCCATTGAATTAAGCAGATGTAGCATCACTGAATGGTGCTGAGAAACACCTGCACTCACAGCTCAGGCTAGTGGACAGCAGAAGCACTACTGATGTTCAGTCTGTTGGTTGAAGGCCTTCTCTCAGAAGTGATGTGACAGGACTGGTGGCATTTGTCAAGTTAAGTGTGTGTTTTCTTAGTGTAAAGGAAGTAAAATGTGACTTTTCTTACAGCTTTTGCAGATGTTTTACCGGCAACAGGAAGAAATCCGTAGACTACGTGAGGTAGTAAACCAGAGAGATGTCCAAATTAAACAGCTGGAGCTGGACCTCAGAAACCTCTGCACAGACACAGGCACTTACTGAGGGTGCTGGTCTGGAGACTCCAGTTCCTGTGGATAACTCCTCCTAGGGTTTTGCTGGGGGAAAGGTCGATGCTTCAGGCAGGATGGACTTCCCTGGCTTGTCACGGTCACATTTCCCTTATTGTCACCAGACAGTTATTGATGGACTTGCTGTGCTTCTTCAGGCTCCCCTTGCTTGCCCGCTCACTCATGTCAGAAGCTCATGCATTAATGCTAGTGAGAGACTTTGGAAAATCTTGCTCTTCTGGTCCTGGAGAAGCAACCTGTTAAGCTCTAGGAACAAACAGTTTCGCTGCCCCTCCACATGACATGAGGATGGGAGACTGAATGCAGCTGCCAGCTTTTCCTACCCCTGGATCCTGCAGTGCGGATTCTTGTGTCCGCTGTCCTGCCCTGGGAGACTACTCTGCAGCTGAGCTTCAGATGCACCTCTAGCTCCAAAGTGATCTCATGCACCCCTCTTGCCTCACAGCTTGGCCCTGCTGCTGGGTGGCTAGGCAAAGCTGTGGCTGCCCCGACCTGGTGCTGGGGATAGTCCCCCTCTGGGTGGGAGGCTGCACTGGGGCTGTTAAGGGCCAGCACTTTTGTGATAGGTAAAGGTTGGTGTTTGGGGGTCCTGCTTAAAAGGGGTGATGGTGTGGGCTGGTTCTCACCAGAGAAGCTGCAGGTGCAGCAGAGGTCTCTGGGCCCTTTGAGTCAGTTGCCTTCTTTCCCTCTTTCTACCAAAGACCAGCTGCATCCAACTGGGGGCCGTGGTCCTGCGGTGCTCATCAGACAAATGAGGACAACATTTAAAGCTGCACAGTGTTGGCAGTGGGTGGTTTACCAAGAGGGATTAAAAGGACGAGGGAGGAGTTGGACAGTCGATCTGCTGCAGACCATTCAGCAATGGTTCTAGCACTGTGGTATTGGCCACAGGAGGATCACAGAACTGTGACCAGTCACAAACAGCCCTCCCTAGTTGCTGGAATATTGCTTGTCCTTGTGCCTGCAGCTTCTGCTTCCTTAGCTCCCAGGTGCCAGCGCCTTGTCCCATGTGGCTACAGGCTCCCTCTTCCCAGCTGTTTTGCCCAGCCTCCCACAACCTCCAGGGCTGTCCCGTCTTCCCAGATTCTGCAGCCACACTCATCTGTGCCCTTCAGCACCAGCTCTCCAGCTCACTGCCTTCCCCAGCCCTTTTTCTTAGGGCAAGAGCAGCTGCAGGGTGCAGGTCCCATCCTTATTTTAAGGGCTGGCACCCGTGATCAGCTTTATGCAGCCTGCCAGCGATGTGCAGAGCTGGGCCAGCAGTAGCACCGGGGGAGTGCACAGCCCGGCGTGCCTCGTAGTTGCCTGGGGGACTCCTCTCATTTGTTTCCGAGGTGCGGGGCAAGAGGGTGGACTGTCAGCTGCCCTGGTGACTGAGCACAGCAGCAGCACTGGAGGGGGAATGTTTTTCCTTGTCCCAAATGCAGAGCTTACAGAAATGTCTTAAACCCAAGTAGAGCAAGCAACCGCTGTTGAACCTGTAACTGCACCTGTTGTGACACCTGTAGGAATGAATACTATGCCCTGCTAGTTCGCTGAAGCTTAATGATCTTGAGTCTAAAAGTTTAAAATAAAAAATTAAATCTCTGTAGTCAGGAGTTCCCTCAAACAGGACTCCTTAGCAAGGGAACTAAAGGCTGTGCACTGCCTGTGCTCACGTGAAATGCCCCTCTGGTTATCCCTGAAAGCAATAGCCAGCAGGGAGCTCATGGGCACTAAATACTCTTATATGAGAATCACACAAAGACTTTGGCATCCCTTTTGCTCTGCTTCAGAGACTTCACCCAGCTTTCAAAAATATTTCATTCATTTCTAAATAGCAACAACAGATGTGGGTGCTAAAAAGTTACAAATACTGTTTCTTTCCGCAGCATTACAGAGAGGGGGTAGTTGTTAATTTTCTTCAGGAAGAGTGCTTTAGCATCAGTCACTTACTTAACACTACTTCTTTTGTAAAAAATAATATATTAATAGCAAAGTTGTTGAGACAAATTTCTGCTCATTTCAGATCCTCTAGGAAAGACTTTCCTGTGCCCTGGGAACATTCTGCAGTATGCAGTTACATGCAAAAGCAGCTCACCCCAGGTACAGAGCTTTAATCCAAACACATGAATTTTAACGCCAGAAGTGGTCAGGCTTTCTCACCAAAGAGAAGAGCTACATAGAAATCAAGAAGCTCACAGTTTTTCAGCCATGTCAAACAGGCCTGACAGCTTCAAACTTCAAAGCCATTTTCACAGAGGGTAGCCCCAGGGTTATGACACTCTGGTTTTCAAGCTATTATCAGAAGGGAGAGGGCTTGACACAGCCTCAGCAGTCCAGGGGATACGACACTTTCTTGTCACCATATGTGTTTTATTTGCTGGATTTTTTTTTGCTTATTTTTCATACAGAATAAATTATTTAAATTATTTGCAAGTTAGAGTAATTTTTTTTTCAGGGGATTTTGAAATCCTCTTGAGGACTATTTGTTGTCCTATGACTGACTAGCATAGAAAATGGTTGGCCACCATGGTTCTTATTTTAGAGTTGCGTTGATTTCAGCATTTCTGTAAAAGAAGTTGCTTTCATTTAGGCTTTGCTAGCAACATTTGATAAGGCGAGACTATTTAATCAGAAGTTGTTTTTTGGACAGTATGCCTGTAAAAGCATAGACTGTGAAATGTATTTCAATTTGGACCTTAAATGCAACAGTAAATCTTTCACACGGAGAAAAATAGCGGAGGAAATGGAATTATGTGCTAATGAACTGTGCCTAAATAGATTCAAGTGATCATTTTAACAGTTTCTGAAACTAACAGCTTTGTAAAAAACTGTAAAACATGGGGATAAATACCAAATTTGTGCAATGAAAAGCAAATGTAACTGAATAATAAATATATTTGGAGTTATACTTTCTGATACATTCAATGTTGTTGGTTTCTTACTATATCGTTAAAACTACTAAAAATTAAGTTGAATCAAGGTCAGAAAGGAGTATCACCTGCTGTCTCTTTTGCTTGCATGAACTTGTGGTCTTACATTAGTAGGCAGGTTGTACACAGTCTTACGCACATGGGTCTGCTTACAACTTTCCCATCTCCCCTTGATGCTACAAAGGGGTGGCCATTTCAAACTGTTCTGTGTTACACTGCCATGTATGCTGTCTTGAGTAAACCGAGCCCCTCTGGAGATGAATACTCCATGGTGAGGTGTCTCTTCACCTTGCAATCAGCACTTCTCCTGTCCAATACACTCTGACCAGGCTCTTTTAGATATTACACATAAGGTGGGTTTAATGTGTTATTACCAAATTTTTAAAGACACTTTATGTTAGATGGGATTTTGACTTAGCAGACTGAAGCAACAATCACAATATAGCAGTTGAAACATCCTCACAATACAAACGAAATTCCCATTAATGGTCTCTATATGCTCACCATCAGGATGCTGGGTATCTCAGATCACCAGGATGAAATACATGGGTTGATGCCAGCTCAAGCCTGTAGCTCTAGCTCTCTTCAAAGCTCGTTTTGTTTGTTACTCAGTTTTTATGCTTTATGATAGGCTAGGCCTCAGGCTGGTCTGACTAACTCAGGAAGACATTCACACCTTTTGATTAACTCAGGTCACTCAGCTGACAGCAATTAATCTAAAACAAAAGCCACCCTCTACCGAGGCAAATACAGCTTTCTTTACAACTGTGATGGCTTCCTGTATTCCCTGAGAATCTTGAGCACATCACCTATGCCCATCTCCTCTGAGCCTCCTTCCACTGTAAGGGTCTGTTGATCAGTCGCAGCTTTGAGCCTGGAAATGTTCACAGCTGCACTCAGGATGTAATTTCTATTTGATAAAACATATTTTAGGCTAGTGTTAGGGAAAAAAAAGGTGGAAGTTACTGGAGAACTTCTATGCTGGGAACTTTGTGCACCAGCTGTGCAGTCAGGGCACTGTGACCTCCTGATCTCCCTGTCTCATAAGGGACCTTGTGCTGGGGAGGGTGGCTGGGCAGGTGCTGCCCTGGGACCCATGCCAGGGCACTGTGTCCTTCCTCTGGCGCTGAGACAGCAGCAGGCAGATTGGTGTGGGAGGCAGAGGAATATCCTCCAACACCTTTGCGGTCTTGAGGTTATGACCACTGAACCACAAAGCGAGCAAAACACAACCCTGCAGTGTTACTTGCCTGTTGGATTTAGAGCCACGACACATCACATCTTCACTGCCTACTCCAGGCCAGCTGACAACTGCAAAATAAACTCCACTCAAACCTGTGCAATAGTTGTCATTCTGTTTCCCACCCAGGGGTGGGTGTCCTCAAGGATCTGTGAGCAGAAGCAGGCATGGAGGTGAGGTCCCCTTGTTCGCCCTGCAGGGAGAAGCAGCATGTCACTCTTGCTGGCCCTGGACTGGCCAGCATCCATCCCTGGCAGGGTGGCTGCAAGCTGCAGGGAGCCTCTTGGGCACACTGCTTCACCTTTTTGGAGCTGGAGCTCAGAGCCTGTGCTGGGGTTACTCCAGTCTGTCCACAACTTGCCCATACGGGGCAGCTCAGAACCAGGCTCAGCACTCCTCCACATGTGGCCTCCGCAGCACTGAGGGGAGAGGAAGGATGATTTCCCTCAACCTGTTGGCATTGCTTTTTAAAATATATCTCAGGATACTGTTGGCCATTCTTACAGTGAGCCAGCACTGTTGGCTCAAGCTCAGCTTGGTCAGCAGAATCTCAAGGAATTTTTGAGCAAAGCCTCCTGCAAGCTGCTCAGTCCCCAGTGTGTACTGGTGCATGGGACTACTCCTCCCCAGATGTAGGACAGTGCAGTTGACCTTGCTGAGCTTCATCACTTCCCTCCTTGCCCAGTTCTGCATTTCTTCTGTTGAGTTCCCCCTGAAGGGCAGCACAACCATCTGCTGGACCTGTCAGTCCTCACACTTTTCTGGGCTCTGCAAACTTGAGGGTGTTCTCTGTCCCATCCCGCAGGCTGCTAAGGACAGTTTCAAAAGCTTTGGATTAGTTTTGGAAACAGTTTTTGATTTCCCCTTCAGAAATCAAGGCTGGCTACTCCTGAGCATCTTCTGATTCTTCATGCCTTTGGAAATCCTTTCCAGGAGGATTTTCTCCACCATCTTCTGAAGGAATGCATGAGGCTGACTGGCCTGTAGTTCTCGCATCTTCCTTCTTGCCTGTTCTGAAGACAGGGCTAAGAACAAATCATCTGCAACCTTTCCCAGTCGCCACCACCTTTCAAAGATCATTGAGGGTGGCCTTGCAAGGCCATCACCCTTCTCCCTCAGCTCTCTTGGGTGCAACCCTTCTGCCCCCAAGGATTTGTGCACATCCAGGGTGTTGAAGTACTCCCTAACCTGGTCCTCCCTCTTCTGGTCCTCCCTAATCTGGTATACAACAGATATCCACCACAAAGGTACCCATTTTTCTCTGCCAGCTTTCACTGTCCTTAGTTCTATGTGAAACTCTTCAGATTCTCACCACGGCTACTGTGCTTGTGGAAATCAAAATCTGCCTATGAACAGCATCTGTGCAACCAGTGGTTCAACACAGTGCCTGTTGAGTCCTCCTCAGGCACGAAGGAGAAAACCAACACTTCAGTGCCCATATCCTTAAGCATTGCCCTAGAACCTGCTAGTCACACTTGACACTTCTCAGGTCACCCCTGGCAGTATCTTTGGTGCGCACATGTAAAAGCAGCACTGTGTAGTAGAGGGCCAGCGATGGCCTCTGCACAGCCTCCTTAACAAGAACCCAGGCAAGCAGCAAACCTCTGTAGATGATAAATCCGGTGGGCAGGTAATGGGGCTTCTACAGTAGTGTCCTCTAACTATTGCTTGTCACTTGTCACTTCCTTCCAGTGGTTCCGAGTGGCTCACATGTACAAGAGAAGCCCTTTTGTGTTGGCCCTGACAAGGCTGGGACCAAGGCCACATGGCTGGAGCTACCACAGTTAAAACCCTGCTCCTCTGAGCTGCTGACAATTCCTGCTTCCATCAGCAAAGCAAGCTCTCCTGAATAAGATCCTCGTGCAAAACTACAGGAGAAAAGTCTCTGAATTTCATTTTTAAGAGTCACAACATGGCTAATAACAGTATGCCCAGTTCTTTTTGAGCCCCTATTTGCAACAAAATGATACACAGTAACCTGTTCGAGCCAGTTCTTAAAATGAGTGTATGCATAAGTCAATATGGTCTCCTCTTCTGATTTTATCTCCTCTTGTTATTGCATGTTTTTTCTTCAGCAGAAATTTGCACATCCAATAAATTCTGATTCAACCACAAACACCCCTTAGGATCCACAGAGGAGAGGGCTTAACAACACAAGGAGTTTTCCATGTTTTGCATCTTTTCCAGTACTCAGCCATCAGATATGGAAGGCATGGGTGAGGGGCACTTGAGGTGGCTTGAGTCAGTATAATATTTATTTCCTTTAATAGGAGAGAGCTTGGGCCTTCATCTACTTTAAATGTTGCCTGTTACATTCTTCCGTCTGGATTATAGTGGGTGACTGTTCTTCTGGCTACAGAGTATTTCTGCTTTATGTTTAATTTGAGGCATTATACTTACATCTTGAACTACATGGATATATTTGGTCAGATCTTGAAAAGTCTGTGGGAAAATATCAGCAGTACCTTGGCTTAGCTTTAGGTCTATATGTTTTACATGCCAAAGTAACATCTTTGTACTGGCTCCCTATCTCAGCAGGAGTCAGTACACAAATGGACGTGTGAGCAAACCTGAGTAAGGAACAGAAAATACAGGTGTGTAAACCCGAGAGATAGTCTGTAGGGTAAAATCACTTAAATGTGAAGGTAATGTGTTTGGAATCAAACCTTACTCCCTACTGATAGCCTTTAGAGAATCCATCAGCTTCTTTGACTCAATGCAGATGGGAAAGACTAATTTCTATGTCAGTTTATGTGTATCTTCTTGTGATGCAAAATGTTTACGTACATTTTAGCAGCAAGTCTAGCATGTGTGCATAAGTCTGGAGAGTTCTAACTCAACCTTATCATTGCGGGAAGCTTTTGCTGCCAGGGTTCAGGACTGTGAATTCTTCTCTTCAATTTTCACAAAGATGTACCTGCAGAATTTTTCATGTGAGTTTATATGAGCCTTTAACAAAAAGAACGTTTAATACACCCACTGTGATTTGTGAGGCAGCTTCTTTAGGAAGATTTGAGTGAAATTATGCTCAAGCACTATTTTAATGAACAAGGACACTGAGCAAAGATGCTTTGTCCCAGCTGGGGTCTGAAAGTGGTGGAAGTAGTGGTGTTTATGGAGAGCTACAAAATAAGGAGGTGATTTTACTTTCCACTGCTGCTGAAACTACTTGAAAATAGATTCAGGGGAGACACTGTGAATGTACTGGTGTTCTTAAGGCTTGGACACACTCAGATCTGAGGTGTGTTGCGCAGTTTTCTACAGCTATAAATTTTGACTGCCCACAACACTGCAATTGCTTTTGGTGGTGGTGAAGTTAAAAGTGCAGTCCTTCTCAAGTTAAATACAGCACTCTCTTTTAAGGAGATGAAGGAGCCTGAAAAAGTGAGGGGCAGATGAGAATATCTGCCTTTTGTCTCAGAAGAGTGGTGGAAATGGATTTAGTTGTTTTTAGGGCCATTAAAATGAATCATAGCAGCTCATACCCAGGTACTAACAGTGTTTTTGGCCCTGGCCTTTGGGGAGAGGCATGTCATGATTCTTTTGGAAACTTTGCAAGTCTCTGGAAATGAGGAAGACAGGCTCAGGGGGAAAAAAAAAGAAAAAGAAAAAAACAAAGCTGTTATGAAAATAAGATGCAGTCAGTGAAAGTGCCAATAATATAGGATGAAGAAAAGCTGAGTTTTAGTTCCACTGCTTGCTGGAAAAGAGCAAAATCATTGCCTCTAGCCT